TGGGTTTTTTAGCATATTTGTCATTTCCTTACTGTATATCTTATTCCTTGTCCACAGTGCCCACCATTTGGATCGAGATTTTCAGACTCTACCCCGTTATTTCAAAAATTACGGAATGTAATGAAATGCCGAAACTTTTTGTTGATCTCGACAAAGTTTGAGCTGCCATACGAGAGTGGGTGAAAGAGAAACTAATTGGTTTATTTTGCATGAAAAGGCGAAAGGGATCAAACATTTGAAAATGTGTGTCACTCTAATGGCTACCACAAGTTAAAGCTAGATTAAGATTCAAATCCCAAGTTTGATTAAATTCAGTATTCATTATGCATTATTTCTGGATTTAACTCGAATACAAAAGTCATGTATGATATAGATGCTTATTTGCGACGACCTACATGAAATTTAAAATCGTCATAAAACTCGAATACATCCGTGTCGTTTTACAAAATATGCAAATAGTGCCTGTGTTAATCCGTAATTTGAGAAGTAACTCGCCAATGACAGCACCAAGAATAAGCAATTGTTTATCAAACAATTTTGTCGATATAATTCCAGTTTTATAACTTTCTACCTTTTTCAGCACACTCCACTATAGCGGTGAAGTGCTTATGTTTAAGACTTTTGTCCATCTGTCAGATGTCCACGCGCATGCGCAATGACTTCACTTCCATTACCTAAGTGTTATGTTCAGTTCAATCCATTTATTGCGCATGTGCGTGGACATGCGCAACTACTACTTGATTCCAAAAATTTATAAAATTTATTTTAAACAAAATTAATATTTGATTCGCTTTTGTTGAGCATGCTATCAGATCTGCTTGACCAAGCTTGATCTTTCTTTGCTTCAGTTTTTAAGTTTTTGTAACGAAATAACAATTGCTTACTGTTTTGTGGTGTTAAAATTTCCAAGTAACCATTAAATTCATTATTTATATTTCTCTCTGTATTTATTATCCCATTTGTGTTTTTATTTTCTAATACATTTTTTTTTTTGCAACTAATTCTAATAATACTTGTCTTGTAATTATTATAGTGCCATTTACTACTGGAATTCATTGTCCATTAAACTGTGAAATCACGTACTTAGTTTAAGCATGACAATCTGTGCAGACACATCACGACAAATTCAAGAGCTCATAACTTGGCTCTTCACTTCAATACAAGAATTTCCCACTCCAATGTTAGATCAGGTCGGCAAATACAAAAAGTAAAATAACTCTTAAACTATAGTCACTGGCCAGAAATCTAGATTACGAAACGCTCAATTCAAAATATTATCGGTGAACACGACACGAATTGGTGATTCCTAAATGATGCACCGCACATACAACAATTAGACTTACTTAGGATGACAAAAATCTATTCTTCTATCAGGGCTAAAATCCTAAATTGGCTTTAATAAATATTCAGTAATAATCCGCCTCTCTTATATTTTATTTATGTTCATAATAAATAATAAGAGTGCCAGCAGCCTCGCAAAAGGACTTTCCTTCTACTAGACTGCATTCGTCGGTAACATCCAAAATGCCAATGGACTAACCTTATTTACCTTCTTCTCACCACTGTAAATAATTTTTTGACACAAACTGCAAAACTACAGATAGACATATTTCAATAGTATCGTATCAATTACTTATTAAATTATTATCAAAAATTCTACAAATTTGTAAGATGCAATTTCATTCGATAATTTTGTGGTTAAGTGATGATTTTGTGCAGAGCATTCGAGAAAACTTCCGCCGAGCACTGCCAGTTTTTGTCACCCGTACATTAGTTTTTAATCTCGAAGATTGAGTAATAATAAACTCTACCATCCCAAATGACTCCTTTATTATGTTTACCTCTTTGATTATAGGTAGTGGCATTGCATTTTGTGGAAAAAAATATACTCTTTATTTCATTACAAGTTTGATTTGTTTAAATTTTGAGGAAAATCCCACAAGTTTCCTATCTATTCTACCCTTCGGAATGCCTCTAGACAGATATAATTCTAAAATATTCATATTTACGGAGAAAACATTACTTTCGTCATCCTAAATAGGTTAATTAATGTATGTGCGCGTCACAACTATTACATACTTAAAAAATGAGAAGAAATCCATTTGTATAGAGATAGTGATTATATTGAAAGACGAACATGTGTAATTAAAGTAAAATACTTTTACTATTTTTCAAAACTGGTCACATTATCCCAACTCTTCTCAAACTAATTTTATATAATTGGAGACGTCACTAGTCCGATGACCCTCGTATTTCCCCTTACAAATTTCTTGCAATCGTAATTTATAAAACTTAACTTTATCATTTTCAAACAGTTAAATATAAAATTACTTTAATCATTGAATAATTAATGTTAAATATCTCATTACCTTATATAACTTATATCCTTGAGAAAGTTAAAAAAAAAAATTGAACATTACTATGCACCCTGTATGTATTTGTGATAGCTAAGTCCTTATACACTACATAACTGACAAATGCAGATAGCTAGATACAGTTACAAACGTGACTTACAGTTAAAGTAAGGTCGTTACATGCCGTGAGATAAGACCACTCGCATCCCTAGCAATAAAATTCAGAAGTTAGTGCACCCATATCGAAAACAATGCATAATATTGGAGAAAAGCCATTAACAAAGAAGATTGCAACTGATTTAGAACAGAAGGACGTCCCATATGAATAGAATGAATAGATAGCACAAAATGCTAACATGTACATCAAGCACGGATGTCTCTCTCAAGCATTCATTCTTCTGCTCTCATTCATTTCTCATGTTCAGAATAAGGGCATTTTTTGTTTTTCAATGTCTTTGTGCTGCATTCATTACGACGTAACGTACGTTGTGCATTGCTTACACGCGTCAGTGTATAAGGACTTCACCATGCACACAGTATATATCTTTTTACACTGTTGTCTGTCGAAAACAAACACAAAAAATTAAGAAAATTACAAAAGTTTGTTAAACATATTTACAAGTCTCTTATCAGGCTACATTAAGGTAAATTAACAAAATCTGATAAAAATTGATTCGATCGTTCGATTCATAAAAGTTTATCGAGTCATTCGTACGTGTTAATAAAAATATATACACGGTCTTCATTAAAAAATTTATCGGTTGCAAATTTAAAATTATGTATTTTATTGCTTTCTATTCTTTAAATTTAAAGCATGTTCTAAAAGTTATTCTGTCACCTTATCCGTTCTAAACCGACTATACCCTAAGTAACAAAGGCAAAATTATTCTCATCTCTGTACATTTCTGAGCAAATTTGTATTATGCTAGTCTGCTAGTAACCACAGGATAGTTCGACCGGGCTAGAAAATATTTATTTGATTAGAGTGTGCTTTACAGTCAGACATTTTACAAATTACACGAAAAAGAAACAAACGATACAGTATTAAAAAAACTTCTTAACAAACTCGACCAAAATAATGGAATAATACAACTGTTACGAGTGGAACCGAACCATTTTGCCTATTTTTTAAATCGTACGTGTCTATACCTAATATTTTCATTAAAATTTTATGATGCTCCAACATAAAACTATGTTAACCACTGTGCTTCTATCATTATTAAAATCTGAAAAATACATTATATATATATATTTTTAATGGAAACTAAAACAGTATTTAACTATCTGATAAGTAAAAATGGAACAACCGCTTATAAACTAGACTGAAAATTTTCGAATTAATTGAATAACGTTATTGCTATTTGGGAATCTAAAACATTGTGCCGAAACACTCAAATAGAGTCGTTAATACAGGTGTCCGAGAAGTTACCTTGCAGTGAGAAATTCGCAGCAACATTGAAGTTATGTCAGTATTGCATAGGAGACCAGTAAGCCATCTGTTTGGTACTGGTTGACCAAATGGTATCGCATACAAGCTACAGGTATCATATGCAATAGCGTATGCATAACTTCGTTACAAATTTCTCAAGGCACGGTAACTTTTTTGACAAACTGTATTTTTATCTTATAGAAATTGAGCTCGGTTAAAATCAAAAATATAAATTACTTTCAAAATCTTTTACCGTCAGACTAACGATGCAAAGAAATGAAAAAGAAAAGTATACGACTAGTAAAATAATGGTTGAATGTTTATTCAATATGATTTCTTTTGTATACGAATAAAACAAATGGACAAAATATTTCGTAGTATTCTCAAATTTGGGCTTTTCGTTTCTTTTCATTAGACAATTTAATTAAATATTTAAACACTAAACAGAAAATGGGGCTAAAAAATTACCAAGAAATTTGGCAAAAGGCAGGCTGCCGAGTCACCATCTCTTGTTAAACGTAACAATAAATGAATTAAATTTCTTGCAGAATATTACGAAATTTAAATTTAATTAATTAAATATTACATATAACAACAGCTGGCAGCATGGCAATCTTCCTCCAGTCAAATTGCTCGGTAATAATTTAACCCCGAAGGCCCAAAAGAGAATTCGGCCGTTGGTTTAGCATTTGTAATAACTGTAGGGTCAGTCGTATTTATTGTATATAAATATTTGAAATAAATAGATAAATACTGTAAATTACAACACGATTTTGAAAAATTCCGATACTTCAATACAACGAAAATTATTTTTCGTACAAAGTATTATGTGTAACGACTTTTTTTTGTTATTCAAAATATTTTAAACACAAAATATTCAAGCAACAATTTCAGACTTAAAAATCATAATAATATATCCCACAATTTTTCCTTTATCAATTTTAACTCTAGAGTTGTTCTCGACAATGCATAAACTTTCTAATAATCCATCCAAGTATTTTATATTCATATATTATATCTTACAATATAAAACTTATGATACTAGTGCATATAAATATAATATGTATATCATTTTGTCTCTTAAACATTAACAAATTATACAGTAAAAATATTCAAATAATGAAATAAAAGATTAATTCAAAAAGTACATTTTAACAAATTTGGACTAGACTAAATGTTCAAAATTTACTTCAAAAGAAACCGCAGTAAATCATTACCCGTGGGAAGGCTCCTTTTGTTTTTGACCCTGCTTGGCTTCACCAGATGTTCTCCGTTCTCTTTACTGTACACGCTGGAATACAGGTCGCTGTCGTCGCTCAGACTCAGAGGCCCTCCGTCCAGATAACTGGCCGGAGACGCGGGTTCGTCTTCGGGCCGGCTGTTGTCCATCGGGAGTTGTTCGTAGAGACTTTCCGAATCGGCACTGAATAAAAGAACGTCGTTTACATTTTTGTTTTCTGGTTTAATATTATGCCAAATTTTTAAAAATGATTTAATTTCTTCAAAATACAATATATAATAATAAAATTTCAATCATTTTTGATTGTTACAACAGTAGATTTTGATGAAAACATAGTTGATGAAAACATGATTATACAACATGTGTCCAGAAAATAAGAACATTTGCACATGGCGCTCTGTGCAGACGAATGACTGCCATCAATTCAAGGTCAATTTGTTCTCTGATGTATTAGCTTAGCACGTGTAGTTTTCATAATGGCAAGCTTATCATTACTGTTTTGTCAAGGGTTAAAATGTGAACAAAAATTGAAAATCCTGCCGAAGTGTTATTTGTTTTCTAAATGTAAAAAAAGTTCGTCCTATAAAAATTCATATACAAATCACAAAAGTGTATAGTGGTCACATTATGAACAAAGCAGGTGTGAGAAAATGATATTTGATGTTTAATCAAGGAAGTTAATGTGTGATCGTACTCTTCTGTAGCCACTCGAGCCGTGCTTTGGAAATTTGGCCGGGACATTTTCGGCCATCTACCATTCAGTACCGACCTGGCCCCCAGTGACTTTCGGCTCTTTCCCAAGCTGAAAGAATATTTAGGAATAGATAACGAGGTGAAAGAAACCGTCCCTCTGACGAAACTGATGGTGAAAATCTGATAAAGGAATCTACAAACTAGTGCTGTGATATGACAAGTGCTTAAACTGTAATGGTAACTATGTAGAAAAGTAATTGGTCCTGTACTAATTACTTAATAAAATTTCTTCCCATGTATACTGTTATTTTTCCTTTTTATAATCAAACATTTCATATTTTCTGAACACCCCCTAATAGTTTTTGGAGTCTCAACAAATTTGTTATCTTGTAACAAGCCTATTTAGAGTTTTGAAAACATTTCTATTAAATTTTTTAGTCATTTTACAGAATTCTCTTTATTGGATTGCCTATTAAGGCTGTGTTTATGCTGCCAACAACAACAACAAAACCCATTTGTCTGTCAGTAAAATGTTCACGTCAGACATTATCATTGTATTTTTATTTTAGTCATTCATCATTCAAAAGTTAGCCAAGATTCCACAGTTGTCATCATTGTCATAATGATATTGACCAATTGACATAAACTTCACAAATTTCTCTTAAAACAAGACGGAGGAATGGCTAATCTTGTGTCTCAAAGAAAGGCCTCGGCTCTATGACACGTCCGGAAACATGAAAGAATTAACATTTAATTCAGCATATCCATTTTTAAAACATGGCCGAGTCTGGTCTAAAAATGCAGAAATCCACGGAATAATGCTAAACTGAACTTAAACTGCGCATGCCCTAACACAAAAACTTTGGCAACAAACAAATATGACAAGTGACACACTGTAATTATCAATTAACATCCACGGTCGTCATTGTCTGCAGCACAGATGCAGCTTAAGTCATCCAAATTAGATGGAAAATTTAATAAATCTTAAGTAAAATAAATATAACCAATCAATTTTAGATACTTATTACTCTAAATACTACACTTACCCATCTTCTAATGATCCACTACGTATATGGTAAGATTCTTGACGAGAAGGAACTGGAGGCGGTATGGGTGTTCGACCATCGATCGGATAATCTAAATCTTCCATGTGGAATGCCTTTTCTATCTGAGGTTTCTTTTCCCAGACTTCTTTAAAAAACGGTGTATAAAATGCAGCTAGAAAAAAGAAACATAATTTAATACTTATTTTTCATTTGTCGATTTTAATAAAATCGAAACGGAAAGCTCCCAAATTCTATCGACTAGACAATTTTAATAAAACGACATTTACTATTTTGTTGGCAAGTAGCTGTCGAAGTCATAAAATGGGCTTGTAATTTGTCGGCGACGGCGTTTCCCTCCGTAATGAGCTGATGAGATAATTCGCTCGAGAAAAATGCGTTGGCGCTTCCCGTTTCGGTCACGGCCAAAATTTGTATTGGAATGTTAGGAATATTCATAGAGAAAGCACTGAAAATGTAAACAAGTAGAATTACAGCAAAACTACAGTCAAAAAGAATTAAAAAGCTATTTCAATTTTAATTAAGAAACTTTTCAAACATTCAAGTTTTGTCACCATCGCGGTGTATAAGAAATTTCCATGTTGTTGATAAGCGCGCTGTTTCCAGTTAAGAAATTTTATTATTAATTGTTGAAGTGTAGAAAACATCAATGAAAATGTCATTACAGTTGACACAAACATATCTTAACAGGCAAATTAAAGAATACAAAATACAATACTTTTTAAACTCTTTCCATCCTGTGGGTACTAAGTGGGCCTTATTTACCAAGCCAATTATTAGTTTGACCGAGCCCAAAGTGGGGCAACTGGGTGGCAATGAACAGGGTCCAACCGCACTGAAAAATTCCCGGGGATTTTTTTGACCCATCCAGATTTGCAGCAGTAAGTTGTCGCCTTAATTGTTCGGCCATCTGGCCGTCCAATGTTTTGATACTTGCAAATGCCGAGAACGGAGAAGAAAATAAAAGATCAATTCTTAATAATTGTTTCTGTATTTTAAACAATACTGTGCTTTTTTTTTTTACAGAAAGAGTCACATTTGAATTAAATTGTCTTGAGTAGTTTGTGATAAAACAGAACCGATAAATGAGGTCGTTAAAGTTTCATTGTTTCAAACAAATTCAAGAATGCTCGACCCCAAACTTAATTCTAAAAAGAACTAAACTTTTAAGTTGACATTCCAGTTTACATTTCCAAAAATATTGCATGATCTGCAAACAGATGTGACATTACAGTTTCTACAAAGAGACATACCTTAAAGTAGAAAGCGAAGCTTTTCTTTTTGTAGAATAAACAAGAATAAATCCGTGAACTAATTCGTCTCTGTACGCGTTGGCTCCGTGGTAGGACGTCACGCGGACTTCCACGCTCCTTTTTGAGTCGCCCAGATACGTTTCTAGAGTTATAGTGTGCGGCGAAGTAACGAAGCAGCATTGATGACTAAGAAGAGGACCTAATACGTGCTCTATGGTATATGGATCACCACACAACATACACATTATAATCCTAAATAATAATTAGAAAAAGAAAGCAAATTGTGATTATGAAAATTAAGTCCAAAAAGTCTGCTTAAACATAATTATATTTAATTAAAAATACAGTAAAACATCATTAAATAAAGTAATTAATTATGTATCTCTGTTTCATTAATTATAAAAATTTCTTACTAATTCAGATTTACCATTTTTATATCGCAGATTTTTTAGTTTCTTTTTTAAATCTAAAATTTAAAGTGCAACTCTTCTCTTACCGTATCTCATATAAAGTTTATTTTCTAGTTAAGTATGACACTTTTTGACATATTAAACACCATATACTAAATCCATATTATTCAACTACCATTTCCTGCTGCCAATATATAATATTGAGGGGTTTTTCTCTCTTCACCTTCAGCTTTTTCTGCCCCTTAAGCACTAATAGAGCTTTTTTCCAGACTCACAATGAATTCGGTCAGATCCATGGGTGAGGAACAGGACCCGACATATCTGGGACAGACTGTCCACAAAAACTTCTTAGGATTCTCCTCCTAAATTCAATCCCAATTCCCCAGAATGGTAGATTGATACCGTTATCGGAAGCCTTTTTTTTTTTCTTGTGACGTAAGTCTTCTCTCCCACTTTATTGGCTGTTTTGTTTGCTATTTCTGATTTTGTAAAGCGGCAATGAGAGCTGAATTAACAGAGAGAAAGTAGATTGCTTTATTTATTCCCAGATCGTATGCACGATCCGAGCTTTAATTTTTACAAGTCTACACTAGAATGGTGAGTTACAATTGCTAGAGAATTACAAAATAATTCATTGAAAATCTACAAATACAGAACTAAAAAGCATGAGGCTCTAATTTACAAAATTCTGTATTTTTGATACCGTACATATCGATACAACCTCAAGAAAACAGCATTTACATTCAGGCGTAGTTTAAAAACTGACGTTTCACCATATTAGAGTAACTGTTTAATACATATTCAAATGTATACATTTAGTAAATAAACATTACCTAATATCTGGATTGATGGGTTGTTCTGGAAGAGTATGATATATCTGAAGTAAGCTTGCACGTCTCTGTATACTTTGCATCAATGACTGTAGAGCTTGACTGAGATTTGTTTCATCAAACTGCTGATCTGACGATGAATCATTTGAGCTTACGTCGATGAAAGGACATTGAAGGCTGTAAAATTTTATGCTTAACATTAACTCTACTTTATTTATGTCTATAGAAATTAACATATTTAATGCTTCTCAAGAATCAATTAAACTAAAAATAAGAAAATCCAAGCAAGTGCTCACCTTTTGGCTCTGTTCTGTCCTTCTTCTCGAAGAAACATCAGATCTTTTTCATTGATGCTAGCATCAGCAGCGAAGAGAATGACGATGGGAAGACCGTGAAATGGCAATCGATCTTCCTGTTCTAAGTTGGACAACAGAGTCTTTTCTAAACTATCTCTGATGTATTCCAGAGTTTGCGGATTAGAATATACACAGAAACACCCTACAAGACAAATGTCTACAAATGTAAAATTAAGAAATAAACGACTGCAATTACCATTAGAGTCATATAATCAATATTAATTTAAATATAAAATAAACAGAATTAAAAACTAAATTTTATTTTAAGAGAAAAAATTAGAATTTCTAATCATAAATAAATAATAAATTATTATTAAAATATCAATGAAAATAAAATATTTAATGTGGCTTTCTAGTAGCATTCTTTCACATATTTTTGCTTTATTACATGTAAAAATTAGTACACGACCATATCCGAATCTAACACATTCCTAAAAGCAATTCAAGTATAGGTACGTTGCCGAATTTCCCATAACTGACGATCTGACACTTCCTATAATACCGACAAAATCACGAGGGGAAACTTGAAATTCCGGATTAAAAACGAACGTTTTCGGCTACCTTCGGCGGCCTGTATCAGGTTAAGCAGAATCTATATCGAACAAATCTATGGCAGGTTTGATACAGAGTCTGCTTAACCTGACACAGGCCACTGAAGGTAGCCAAAAGCATTCGTTTTTAATCGGAAATGCTGGAAAGCGAGAGGAAGGTGTGAATTTTAATATCTAGTTTATACATGTAGAAGGTATAATTAGTGGGTTAATGGTGTGGTGATAAGCTATAATTATATGTGATCACATTCAATTTGTCAAGGCCTTAGAACCGCGAGAAAAGGAAATTTGGCAGTATACCTGCATTCAAAATTTACATCATTATTTCCAATGGAAAACATTAAATTGCTTCCCTATCTGTCCAAATACCGAATAGCTCTGATCAATTGCAATTTTCTAACTCGAGCAATAACTCGAGCAATTTTCTACCATTCACCAGTAACTTAAACATTGATTAAGCGCAATCTCTTATATTAATGAATCTTGTTTTTAATTTGTAACAAAAACATCTCCGAAAATACTTCAACAAATCTAATTTTTTCACACTCATTTTTTTAGCAATGGAGTTAAACAGTTAAATATTGTTTCGTAAAACATTTCTCCCATTTTTATAGTTTCCGTTTAATCAAATTTATTTAGTTACACGATTTTCTCTATACTTTTTGCGTCGTGCCAAAAATATTAATTAATTAATTAATTGTTTATAACTTAAAAGAAATTCTCACTAACTAAAGGAATCGTTACATCATAAGAAAATTAATTGTTCCAGACAATTTTTCTTGTTTATTCTAAAAATAGATTTCTTTTTATTCTCTAATTTCCTGTTCCTTAATTCTCTTCCTGTTCCTGAAATTATTTTTCTTTCATTTCTGCTTTATAAAAAGCAAATGTATTTATGTACTCGGCTCAAATTTCTGTCTGTTTTCATTAAAATTTATGACTATTTGAACAAATACTTATTCATTTTTCATAAGAAAGCTTTTATATAACTACTATTCTAGTTTGCTTATGTGTTTTAATTTGTTTTAATTAAATTATATTCTACAGTTTACTGAAATAATCATTGTAATCTACTTAAAAATATTGTTCTGATTCAAAGCAAAAAAATTAATAATAAATTTTAACAAACTATAAAGCAACTTACCATGAGGCATAAATTCTAAAGTTCTAAATGAATTGTGAGGCAGTCCGACGTCACCGTCGATAATTCTAAAATCTAAAGTGTATTGGATTTTATCCATTTCATATATGTCGTCGGTCGTCTGGGCCTGAAATATTACGTTCGTATAGACTCGAATAGGATGAAATTCGATAAACGTTTAAGGGCTAATTTCTACCTTTATGGCGTTCTTTAGTTCTTCGGCCAGACCTCCCGATCCCAGCAAAACCAGATTGAGTTGATTGTTCTCGGTCTCCAGCAACCACTGACTATTTTTTGACCACGATGAAGGCCTAAAAATGATTGCAAGCATTTTTTAAATTTCAACACAAATTTAAATTATCATCGTATAATTTTACAAATACAGTGGAACTTCTATATTCGTCATCAATCTGTTCCTAAGGATCTAATGAACATGAAAAATGACAAATATAGAAACAATTTTTCTCACAATAAATAACCGATATTCAATTAATCCGATCCCATCCTGCAAAAAACATAGCTAGACATTTAATAAAAATATTCAAATCATATCGTTTTCATATCTGGATAGCATTATAAAAATAGCTAAGCCATTATAATTTAAGTAATTTGCAAGCTAGATTGTTCGTATATCCAATAAATCTAGTAAAAAATTAGCTAAATTGGCAACACTAAGCTAACACAATTAGCTTACTGGCGCAGGCGTGTGATTGTAGCGCCACTGCAGGTGTTGGGAATGACGACGAATACAGAAAATACCAACGAATATGGGGGGGGGATTTATCAAAATGTGACGAATATCAAATATTACGAATACAGAGGTTGACGAATATAGAGGTTTCACTGTACTCTAACAGATCGTTTAAATTTAATTATACATACTTTACAATTTATACTGGGCAATCGAATGAAAAGTTTACTCAAAGGAGTAGACTCAGCACTTTTGTTATCATTCTACTGCACGTCACAATAAATGTTTAATTCTTAAACATTTATTTACTACATGCTCCAGGGGTAAAGAAACAACTGTTTGCTAGCTTCACCAAGTCTACGTCGCGAGGGTAAACTTTTTATCCGATCTTCACGTATAAATCGGTAATTAAATTTCGACAATTTCCAATTTTGATATTTGCCTTCCTTAGCGATCCAAAATCGTGTCGATAAATCGATAAGATTTTATTGCGGACGTACCTATGAACTTTCTGCGCAATGACTTTTTCGATCAGAGAATCCATGCACTTCGGAAAAGCCGGGCAATGTTCCCTGATTGGACCGTGAACGAATCCAAGATGTCGAAGCAGCATCAGCATTCGTTCCTGATCCAATCTGTCTAAGGCCTTATACCTAAAAATAGAAATGAAAAACATTAATATCGAATAAAGCATGGCTTCTTAAAATATTCAATATAAACAGGAATAATAATAATCATTAATACATTTTAATATAATAAATTTATTACAAAATGTTACACATTTTTACTTTACATGCTAAATATAATTAAAGTAATGATTTTCATATGTTTCTTCCCATACTTTGAAGTGGTGTGAGATCTGTACAAATTCGTAAAAAATGGTTAATGGTAATTTTAATGTTCAAGAAACAATTCGAAGAGAACAATACGATGTAATTACCGAAAACTCTCAAAGAACAATGCCTACTGAAGAGCTGCATCATCTATTTACAGCAGTGTTTCTCAACGAGGCGATATTGCCCCCATGTGGGCATTTTTCCATGTTGAGGGGGTGATTAGTAATAATTTATATTTTGGGGGCAAAAAACAATTTTCTGGACAATAAAGTAAAACATTATATTAAGAATAATTAGATATTTTATTCGTTATATTTCATACAATAATTAAACAAATAACATTATACTAGTCACTAGTCTATTCAATGCAGTACGAATTTGGCGTTAGCCTTGGCCCTCGGCATTGGAATTTTGAAGGGAAGGGAGCGATACTACGTAACGGTTTTATTGAAGGGGCGACGATTCATTAGAGGTTGAGAAACACTGATTTACAGTAGTTTAACTGTATGTAATATATTGGATTAAGGAATAATTCACGAATGCTTTACGTTATTTGAAAGAGAATTTTTTTGCTCTACAAGATATCATGTTTTGATTTTTTAATTTTTTAATTTTGTGTACTATCAGATCATTAAAATGTGATGTCAAGTAGACAAAAAAGCATTTTTGACACCATTTGCTTTTTGCATTTAATCGAAGCGTTATGGCCGCCAAAGCCACTTATGAGATTTATGCCGTGTATGGAGAATGAGCAATGCCTCAGAGTACCACCCACCATTGGTTTTTGCACTTCGAAAATAAAAATCCGATTTGAAATCAAGAATGGATCACACACCAGTTGACCAATTGAGTTCAATGAAGAGTGATCAAATGAACTTCTTCATGAAAATCGACATCAAACGACCAGAGAAATGGCAGGGCAGATGGACTGTAATCAAAAAACTGTGATGAACCACCTTCACTCAACGGACGAGGTTCAGAAGCTCAGTGCTTGGATGCCACACATTTGAGCGAAAACAACAAAAATCAACACTCGCAATCATCAAAGTTGTAAACAACGATGGCGAGTATATTATTAATTTGTTGTAGTTTTTTGTTTAAAATAATTTGAAGAAAGGAAAAAAAAACATGCTCGTGAATTACTCCTCAACCCAATAGTTATCACTGTTACTTTACTGGTACTTTATGACAGATTAACTAGGTAAACAATCATTTATCTTTGACACACACCTCAAAGGATGCTGCCATTTTATATTGGTTATACCGAAATTAGAGCATGGTGTATGCAGGTATCAAGCCTGACTTTGCCATTTGTATGCGTCAAGACTTGCCCTACATATCTGCTGAAATAAAAAAGTGGCTTTTCACAGTATTTTAAGGCTACTTACCCAACTAGTCTTGAGTAAAATGCAATCATATACACACATAAACTTAGAAACTTACAATTTATTATAAAAAATAATGTAGTATATTTACATAAAATTACATTTTTATATTGTCTTCTACAAATCTACACTGAATTCTTATGTGACTGATGTTCTAAACAGTTGCAGATATGTACAAAATAATCTGGAACATTCATGTTTTTTAGGATTTTGGAAGGAAGGTTACAGGAGCATCGAAGGAACATCGTGCCAAACAGTCTCCACTACACTAGTAAAATAAACTTTACACAAAGTCTACATTATTAATTTGAAGGAGGAGTCATTAATATGCCTTTTACAGATGGCCAAATTGTCAAGACAGTTAAGGGTCAGTCTGCTGTTCTGGGGATCCAAGATCAAATCTAACCACAAGAATTTTTTACGGACCCATCCCCTAACATCCTGTTTCCCCCGCATTGCGCATGACCAATGCTACAATGAATATAAATAAAAATATAATTCATTACCATAAACTTACCTTAAATCTTCTTGTAAAGTACTAGTGATCTTGTTGATATCTTCTTGAGTAATGACACTCCCTGGACCTACACTGGCAAAATGGTAAAACAATTCTGCATGTTCTAACAACAGTTCCTGAAAGTTCTGTTTAGCGCGCTCGGTTATCTCTCTTTGGTGTTCCTCATAAATCTCTTGAAGATCTTGTTCGGAGAGGGATTCGTAACATTCTCTACCCATGAACAGTACCTGAACCTCGGAGAGTAGCTTTCCCGGAGTGACATAACCGGTTTCTTCTAACAACTGTTTAAACTGTTTCCTCATTCTAAAATTAAGTTAAAGAAAAATTATAATTTTACGTACTAATGTTAAAATTAAGATAAACGAAATAAACCTACTCTTTTCTTCGCTGCTCTGAATCTAATGCCGCCTTATGTTCCTCGAAACAATTCTCCGCTTCCGCAGTATCTAGAAGATCAAAAGGTATTCGTGTTTCCGAACTATCAACAAGATCACTCTCTTGCCAAGGTTGTTCGTCTGGACTTTCGAGAAAATACTGATTAAAGTCGGGATGCTGACGCAACATGTCTCGAACAGTCTGCCAATCACTGTTATTAAAAAATAAGTCGCATTAACGAATCGATTAAATATTATGATGATGGTAATTTTAATCTATACAAAGCAAATTATAATTCCAATAGATTAATTCCTAGAACCTAAAGTTGGCCCCGCATGTTCAATATTTGCCGAATGCCAAGTAAACATTTGGCAGTAACGAGTGGCGTGGATGATTTACTTGTGACTAATATTTGGCATTTGTCGTTTCTCGCTCCTTGCTGATATATTATGCCAAATCGAAGAGGACAAATAAGCAATTATTTGGCAATCAACAATACCAAACGTGGGAGCTGCCTTGAAGGCAAGATAATCTTTTATTACTGGAGTAATCCTCAAACAAAAATACACAAATCATTTCAAAGAAGAAAATATATACATACAAACTTAATTCTTAGAACCTTCATTTGTTAATGAATTAGAATGAATAGATTCTAAGAAAGGAAAATACTTCGATGCTATGGTGCATGCATGTATCATATGTGGAATTTCAGCATCAATATCATATTAAATTAACCAGATAAGGTGCCAGAATGCCACTCAAGATTTAATCTCCGGTTCAATTATGAGTGTTCACATAAATATGTTGACACGTCATGCTTCAAATTCATTTGATAAGGTCATTCACAGTACGAGTTTGTATCGTGTTATCCATGGGTATCCCATAAACCATATGGATGCCCATGGATAAATCCCTGTAAGATATTAAGTGAGAACTCAGTATAATGTATAGTCTTCTTACATAGCTCATTGATGAATAATTCTTAGTCGTTAGTTGCCACATTTATCGGTTAACGTGGTGCTGTCGTAACTTTTCTACTAGGGTCCAAATTTGACACAAAGTAGCCAAACCTGGAATCACCTTATGCACCCCCAAAATACAACTAGCACGTGTTTGCACGAGGCCGCATCCACTTAAAGAGGTGGACGTCCTTAAACTTTAACCCCGTTTTCCGAGTACGGTAGAATGGTCCACTAAAAGCAGACATTTGAACTGCTCTACAATCAGAGGTTGAACCAATCTCTGCTTACTAGAAGAAGAAAGTCTATTCTACTCAAAATAGAACATTTATTATGGTATAATTTGGTTTTTTATACTTTTTGATGTGAATAATAAAAAAAATTATTGGAAATAGAGTTATTTCTGGGAGTTTTGAAGATAATTTACAGTTCAATTAAACAAACTCTAGTAAAATTTTTGTTTGCATTATTTGTTTTATTGGTGTTCGTCTCAAACCGAGTCAACTGTATTCCATATATACTAAAAAACAAGCCTATTTCTATCATTTATAAGTGAAGTGTCGAATAAGTTCGGAGACCACACTTAAGCAGTGGCTGTAAGTTTGCGCATCACCGGATTAATGTAGCTTCACTTTTTACAAGGCTATTGCAACAAACCTTGCAATTGCATAGTTCTATTATGCAATTGCAAGTTCTATTTACCACAGAAAGACAAAAACAATTACGTATGAAATTGTTAAATATTACCATTATTACTAGATTAAAACTAAACGATTGCTGGATTGAATTCGTTATATTAAAGCTACCAACTACTAATTAAAGCCCAAGTAATTTGGCCTAGAGGTAAACATTTGGCACCATCGCTTAATAAATTATTAATAAAATATGTCCGATCTATGTTACCAGAACTGTTAATTTAGATATAACTATATTGCTTACTCATGGCACAAACTGAAAATGTCTTCCACACCCACTGCCCAGAATAACCTCCATTGCACTCTGTCGATTATCGCATTTACCCCAGCAGTGTGTTTATATACAAATATAAAAACTGATTAACTGATCTTTAAAATTATCTGAGTAACCAGTACAGTTATATCTAAATAAATACTTCTGTAAACAGAGACAAGATGGAGGTCCAAATAGAATAACTGGAAACCTGTCCTTATGGCAAGCGAAAATTGCAAATCTGAGTCCCGCACTAAACCAATTCTTTTCTTCTAGAACCTTATAAATTCATTATTAAATATTAATTTATTTACAACTATTAAATTTATCAAGAGATGATGTCTAATGTCTACCTCTAGACCAAATTACTTGACATTTCATTAGTAATTACAAGTATTATCAACAACATAGCTCAATATTATTGGCGATCCTTTTATGTACTTATAACACAATTAATCCAAGTCAAAAATATTTATAAATAAAATAACAGTTCACTATTAGCGCAAGTTCTTCCTCCAACTACTTATAACACCTTAAATTAATTCTTTATATTTATTGATATCTAAATACTGTTCTTTCTGTAAGATTTATATCTAAAATATAAAAGCTTGTTTATCCTACAGTTTCAATAGTAGAGTTTATGATGTTCTGACATATTACAGCTCCACTATGGACCAACCATGTGGCTTCATTACCGAACTATTCCTGCATTTATCAGCTTTAACTAAGCATAACCATTAATTCAGCCAGCACAAAACTTAACATACAGGTAGAAGATCATATCCATTATACAACAAAACAATTGAAAAGTAAAAATTTAATCTAGATTATGTCAAATTAAAAAGACATAAAATAATAAGCATTGTTGTAAGTCCTTTATCACAGAAAATAACTTATATGGCATGTGCTTGCCTCCTGAATGCAAACATACTGCATAGTTCATGCTGGTTATAACACTGTTTATCAGCTCTGTTCGAAGCAAAGTGCATTCTCGGTGGAGACCGATGAAATGTAATTCGTCTTCCTAGAGCATCCTAGAGCATGTGGGATTTTCATGCAGAGAACATGCTGGCAATTCCACATAAATAAATACTTTTGCTGTAGGGAAAGTCACTGATGAATGCAATCCAGTATGTGCAAGCATCATCATCCACAAAAACAAAATCTGCATCTATGACACTTCTACAGCATCTCATGTGGGGTGTTTCAAAACATTGTCCCTGTACCTTCTTGCAACAACCATCCCTTGCTAAAGCCATGGTCACAACATGCGATTTCCAGCCGTGCAGGTGACCGAAACTGCAACGAACATGAGTTGCACGCATCTTCTCGTGGTCACACATTGTTCGCTGACTTTCTAGCGCTGGAAGCGACTCTCATTTTATCTTAAGGATTTCACTGTGGTTAGACATGTTGTGTCTTAATATTTAGCATAAAGTTTCCACATTGTTATCAGTGGATACCTGGTTATCTGTGCTTCACATTGGCTCATGATAGAATTGCTCTTCAAATGTGCACGTGCTCAATATTGTGAGGGCCCGGATTTAAGATTCAAATATTTTTATTCATTAGATTAAAAGTTAGGGTTAACACAAAAAAGGGAAAAATAACCGACAAATTTTCTCATAAAAATCGCTCATAAAACTCCGTTCCCATGACAATACTTCCCTGTAGAAAATGAGTTAACTGTTGTGTCATAAGTTTGTCACTTCGCCCACCATTGGTCAATGAAGATCATCACCTGTGACGTATATAGGAAAATCTCGAAAAGAGAGCCCCCATATAAAAGACAAGAGCAATGACGACACAGGGGGAGAAAGTTATTTTTCTATACTGTGTGTGTGTGGATTACCTGCCTCTCGTCGCCACCGTCTTCAACAGACTTTGAACTTTGATTTGGACTTTGGACTATATTCCAAACCCAGGAGAACAAGAAACTACATCCACGATTTAACTCGAGGTATTTATCCTACACGCGATGATATGTAAGCTCTCTCTCGCTATTTGACTATTCCAAACTCGCGGTTAGGGGCACGACTAATTTATATTTTGCCCGCTACTTATGAACTATACGGATTGAACCCCCGAGAGGGATTTGTATTCCAATTATTAACCATGTATAAATGTACGGAATAAACGGGTATTTTGTTAACGAACGATTGGAGTACATTTCTTCCACCATTATCACCTTCATACTGAACCCGAAGTCCTCGACGAGATCGCTCATGATAATTCCTCCCCATCTAATCGCGTATCTATCCGCGATAAATTGATAGATTGGTGTCAGATCCTGACAGGTGAAAGAATCTAACGATCCTTTCTCCTAACCCTTTTCTTTTCTCCCATCCTTTAGACAAGCGAGACTGGACCTCAAGGTCTTGAGTCAAGTAAGTGGTAGGAGAGGGAACATCCTCGTAAACATCCTACCCCCGATTAGTCTCACAATATTATCTGTGGCTCTGGTTTTCTGCGGTTATGGTTATCTGCGTTACACTGCTATAGTGGTTGGGAGAAAACCTACCTTCTGCTACTTTGTTCTACTTTGTATTTATCTGTGATGCATGCAAAACTTTTGTGACGTGAGAGTAACTTTCTCCTGTCATCTCGTTCTTTCATAATGTGTATGCAAAACTTTAGTGGTGTTTGTAATGTATACTTGTGATTATCTACTGTAATTTCATTGCAATTCTTATTGTACCATTGTAATACTGTCACAATATTTATAGTATTTATTGTTACATAGATGTTTAACCAACTACGATATCATTATATCCTGAATATATCTTTTAATATTTTCTTTTCAACTCTCTTTTTTGTGTACGATACCGGTGTCACAGGTTTTATATTAATTGTAATTAATTATGTTCAATTCTGCTGTACTACATGTTATATTTTAATTGTAAAAGTTGCTCTGGCAGCAATTATATATAATTGATATTTTGTATTTTAAATACTGTCATCTGTACGTTACTTTTATTACATTTACCTATTCCCTCTCCATTCACTGTACAACTGATACATATGACTGTTCTGCAACGTAATTATTGTAAATGTGTAATTTCTGTATGTAACACCTGATTATGCTATGCGACATCAGGCATATAACAAAAGTTATGTTAATAAACTTAATGGAATGGAAACGGAAAAAAAAAAATTGTTCACTAACGTTGCAACTCAGAAACACATGACCCTATAATAAACCAACAAAATTACAGTAGCTTGTTTTTGACTACTTTCAAGAGTTTGCCGACATTTTACGTTCTACTTCAGAGTATTTAAGGAATTTTAGCCACTTTTCTTATTAAAATAGCAAGCAGTTCTTTTTCTGGAATGAAGATAAGAAAAAAAGGTGATTATTTTGATAAAGCTGGTGAGAATACACAAAAAGATAAAATCTTCAATAAAACAAAGAATTAAAATCCCAAAGGTATTCGTGAGCCTGAATAAGCTTGATCAATCTCGATTCTGTAAAAGTATTAATCCTCTAACTATCCATCATGATGATAAACTATTTTCAATGTTGTCACTGTATGACATGGCACAAAGGCGCTTGCTGATTGGATGCACATTTGCAACTGTCACGAGCAGAACAAACTTTTTGTTTCTAGTTGCAATTGCAGTTGAACTGGTTTTCAAAGTGGGTTTACTAGTTAACGGGAACAGCCGTCACGGTTGCAGGTGCCTGCGCGGAAATCACATAGTGTGACCACAGCTTAAGACATAAGAGTTCAGTGCAACCATTAAGGCTAATTGTATCATACCTGCAGACTAGTCTCCACCTTCAATGTTCATGGAACTGTATCAAGTTCTCTACTCTATCCAAATTCTAATCTGATTAAAATCATACTGTACCCAGACTTGTCAGTGAACAGAACAATATTGCCCCATTCATTATAAGTCCAACATCGATATTCTTGAAACCATCTTAAATGAGCTTTTCCGTGCACTGAGTCATGATAATGCAATGTACTAGTAGTCTACAATAAGATTATTTGCCTAGAAACTTTAACACCATTGTAGATAGCTCTGCAGAGAGCTGCCTATCAGACATTTTTCTGCTACAGCACACCATTAACAAGTCCTGTCGACAAGTCTCCGAAATCCATTTCCCGATCGACATTCAACATATCATGTTCTTTGAAATCTGGGACAAAGCCTGGGTACGATGCTCTGCGGCACATTAAAAATCCCAGACACATGTATCTACCTGCTTCAAACCTTTCAATAATTTTATTTCACGTAATCGTCTATGTGGCATATTTGTGGCATTATCACTGTCAGTATCAAACACAAACAGTAATACAATAGAAACATAGCGTACTACTGCAATTAATGAAGCCTGCATATTTTGCATAAACTTGTGCTTTTTAATAGAAAATTTGACTGCTTTCAGTAGTTTTATTATCTGGAAGCATTCACACAAATTTTCTTCTGTGTATTGGATACTTACGCTTGATTTTCAGACATGAACGTACTAATCCCGGTCTAGCAATAACTGCAAGATGCCAATTCCAAGCTATATTAAGTTACTTATGATTAAACAATTGCCTTAGTAACTCTTAAGCAAGTAAATGTTATCAACATAAATTAAGATGATCTAATATACATAAACTAATAAAAATAAACTACAACTAAGAATGAAAATAAATCTACAGTAAAATCAGTCTGGGCAGATATTTAGGTTGTGCTCTTAGTGCTACTTAGTAGAAACTTCCGTGCCACAGAGTAAGTTCCCGCATCTTTTACATTTAGACGTAATCCTGTTAATTTTTGCCTGAATATTTGTATCTTTGGCAGTATATTTTCGGATTATTCTAGATTGATTTCACAAGATTTTCGTTTGCAAAGCACGCTAGCAAATTCTGGAATCTTGTCCTTAGCATTCTGTAACAAACAAAAAATTAGGGGTTTTTGCTTATATACTAGTCTAGAGTCATGTGTGCTACCAATTCCTTCTTAACACATGTCCAAAACTTAAAGATTGATGGTATTTGGTTGGATTTGGAGTTTTTTGGCACAAGGGTAGGCCAAATAGTGCCAGCTGTCTCTCTCTGTATGCTCTTTTTGGGTGTTTTAATATGTCATAATTGTTTTGTTGTATGTCCTAGAGTTCTGTATATAAGCTTACTGCCTTCAGATATGCCATTGTAGGTTGAATTTGTCTGGTATCATCTAGTATATTCCAAAGAGCTTGGTCATCTGAAAATATTTGTTGCTGAAGCTAGTGTTCTCTGCCTGTTTTCGTAGAAGACATTTGTACCTACATGAATAGACAAAACTGTAATGATAATTTAGCCCATGCAGAGAATGGAATGCCTGGATAAGACAACAAATATATCAAGTGCGTCTTCTTGTAACCGAGTGTGTTAGCTATCTCGGAAATTTTTCATGTTATTGCAATGGGAGTAATCCCTCTTAATCGATGTTCGGAAAATTGCAATCTTGTATACTTTTAATCCCTTCTCTACGTGGTTGCTATATGACTATAAACCAACCTTAATTTCAAATCTAGTAACAGATTTCGCAAAGATTCGTTGAATTAATATTCTTATATTTAATTAAATGAAATACACATCGTTTTGAAAATTGTCAATAATGAAATTGTGGATTAAAAAACTAGTAACTGTAATTAAATTATTATAAAAAAAGAAAATTCTTAACTTACCCGTCCCCTATGCTGTTGAGATTAGGAAGTAATTCGCTAAGTACTTCGGGTAATATCCTAATGTACATTTGTATTTTCCTTCCGATGTATTCTTCTTTAAGTTTTTTAACGTGTCTTCTAAACATTTTCAGAGCGGCGTCGTGACCGAACAGATTACAGTAATGAATGAAGTCTTGATTAGGAGAGAACTTTTTACTGACCGAATTCCACACGGCCCTGTAATCTGTCACTTGAGAACGTATGAGTTGCTGGTATGCTTCGGTGGCGATATCCAGTTCTTCCTTTCTCATCCTGGCTGCGTCCACAAATGGCACTATTTTACTCTTGGTCTTTGTCCGGCTGTCAATCATCTGAGCCAGGACGATGAATGCCAGTTCGACATTGACGTTCTCGTGAGCGGACGTTTCGATTATTACTATGTTGTTTCTGTACTCCCTGCGGTTGACCAGACGTTCTGCTTCTTTAATGTACTGATCGACGGCTTCGTCATTTTTGGTAGTAGCTAGGACGATTGGCTTTTTAGTTTTTATAAGATTATTGAGTATGAGAGATGTGTATTCGGCCTGCTTTTCCACACTACGTCCCTGCACTTCACTCACGTCAAACACACATATGAATCCGTCAATATTCAGTTTGCCGTCAGGGATTAATTTTTGCTCATATTCCTTTTCTATTCCTATTTTTAAAAAAGTTTGCCATTAGTATTTAATGTGAGAAATGCAAAACTTAAATTTAAATAATCTAAAACTAAATAACTTTAATTTTATCAACTACAATTAAATCAAAATATGTAGCATAGACTATGTTACTATTAACAAAAGGAAGAATTTAGGACTAATAAGAAACTGAGCTTGTATATTAACACTCAATATGCTTCACTATTCATTCGTGTTATCAATAACAATCTTAAATATTCCATCCTGCCATGTTTACGAACTTAATACAACTAACCACCAATTAATTCCAAGAACTTTTATACAATAAAGCCCATCATTAAAGCAATCGTACGTAAGAAGAGCATTCAAAGATGGTCATTCGATGACAAAGTTCTTCATAGCACAAGTTTATAAATAATTCTGTTTTAATAATAATTCTACACAAAATTTCACTGATGATGGACCTTACCGTTCAAAAGTACTCAAAATTAACTGACGGCAAACTGTATTATTTACTCTGTGTTTATAATATAACTATTTCTAACCTGTTACCGGTGCGTCTACTAACTCTTTAAGAGTTAGTAGATGCACCGGTACTAACTCTTAAGAGTTAGTAGACGCACCGGTCCGCAGAAAAGTGAATGTGGCAAAGAAATCATTTAGAAGCCTGTGAGAATCTTTACAATCCCAAAAATGTTTCCCTTTGCTACACATATTTCAACAAAAATAGATATAATTTAAAGTGTATGAGCTTATTCTTATCTTTAAAAAGAAAGCACATGTCAAACCAAAGTTAACTCAAATTCCTATACAAAAATAGTTGCAAATACCAAACTGCAAAATGCCCAAATATGGAGCTTCTATTCTACAATAATAGGTGGAACTTCTAATATGGACTGGAAAAACTTCATCCAGTAAATAATAAACCTCTTTGAGAAAAGAAAGTTGCCGCCTTGCTTCCAATTATACTTTCCTCTCAACATTTTGAATAAACTTGTGACAACAGTCAGAAGTGTCACTACATAAAGGCAACTCCTAGGGTCTCACTCTCGCAGGGTCTGGCAAATTTGGTAGTATACTTTAATACTTAAATCTTAAAATTGGTAATGAATGAAATCTAAATAAGTATCTGTTGCAGCTGCATAACAATCATTTTTAAAGTTAATTGATCAAGTACTCTAGTCAATGCTGCAGAACTGGACTTTACCTCTTTAACTGATGAATTTCTATGCTTTATGTTACTGTAATTATGTTAATTATTATCCAAGAAGTACGTGACCTACAATGATCGACAGAGTAACCGTCCGGATTTTGTCTCCCGTTTGCATTTAAATGTCCTGTCATCTATCTCACCTCTAGAAAGCATCTTAAGTGAAAATGGTGACTCAACAACAGAGACAGCATCCTGTGTTCTGCAGTTTGCAAAATTGCAATTGCTCGTCATTGTGAAACCCGAGTAATTGGCAGGAGCAGTAGAATTGCGGCTGTCTCAGGAATGGGGGAAAAGATATGCAGTAGCAAGTGTAGAAAGAATTTGACTATTGGTTGGATGTGTGTGCCACGTGACACGAGGTGCATGCAACGAGAAAGTGTAATGGGCAAATATAAACTTGGATAATTTTTCAATGTTTTAATATATGTTACAATGTTCTGTGATAATAACTAACGTAATTACAATAATTCTTTTTATAAGATCTGCGTGTATATATATTTTGGAAGCTGTAGCAATTGGCTTAGAATGCAATACAAATACAGATCAGCCACTAATTTTCTAGAATACTTTACTTGAAAGTCTTATTGTATAAATCACTTTTCCAGACCAATTACATAATAAATCAGCAGTACTTCCCAAACCACTAATTATATTCCTTTGCGTTTCTAAAGCACCGTGGATCAGAATATTCTGTACTAGTTCTCCTCCTTTACATTTAATGGTATTGCATATAAGGAAAATAATGGGGTGCCTGTACATAACCCAATGAAAACTAGTTGTACAAAAGCTGGAGTGTGTGACTCAGTAGCCAAACAAGGTTATATAAAAGATACATTCTTATCATCATCATTCTATAGCATCAAAAACCAAATATCTCTAACTTCCTGACAAAGATACATACGGACTCATTTAGAACAGGAAAGTAGTCGAATGGTACATTTCTTGAACATCAAAATCACAATTTCTGATAGCCAAATACACACAAGTATGTACAGAAATCCGTGTTTGACGTGGTTGGGTATAAGACAGCTGCATTCAATGCTCTTATGAAAAGGGCATATTTTCCATTGCATGAACATTAAGGACAAAATAAAAGAATTCCACTACAAACACCTAGCCAAGATCTATTTTTTATCCTAAAAAATACTTAATCAACAACTCCAAGAAAGAAATTAACCACAGCCTTTGCTATCAGTACATTGCAATGGGGTTAAAGTCACCAGGCAGGTTCGTGACAAAAGGAAAGTGAAGTGTGCAACCATCTTTAAAATATACAAAGCCCAGAGGGGAATGCATCAATAGAAAAGTTGCCATCGATATCTGAAACAAGGGGATGTATCCAATCGAAGGAAGCCACAACACAGGTGAAGTTTATAAGGTGACAAAGTAGCAGGCTAACAATGGAGCATACCTATTTGCACATGATATATTTAACATCAGTTATAATCTAGTTCAATTTTGTTCCAAACACATCATCCACAAATGTATTTAAATAATTAAAGATAAGAGCAAACGAAGCTGTTACGTTACAAAATCAAAGTTTTGAGTGAACTGATGTTCAGATTTTTGAAAATGTTATATTGGTGTAAATATATCCACAAAAGTGATACATCACAGAGAGTATTACAGAATCATTTCATTTCTGAAATCTTCGACGGAGATAGGCAGTGCCGTAACTAGGCAGGTGCAACAGGTGCACCCGCACAGGGTCCACTTGAAAGGAGGGACCAAAATGTATGTATTTTTTTTATTATTTTCCCAACCCTAATTAATTAAGGGGCCTAAATGCAAATTCTTGCACAGGAATGGCTAGTTACAGCACCGGTGGTAGGCAAGAAACATATATATTACACTTTCATCCACACAGGACGATTGAGTTTTGAATGACTGTAACCTAACACCTTTGTCAACCAATGTCTTCACTTAGAAAACAAGCATCCAGTTTTGTTCGTTTTGAAAAGTCCAAAGATTTGTTACAAACGAACCCAAAAACATTCGGCAAAAGGAAAGGATTTGGTGCCGGAGTGAACGATAAGTACTTTTACCAATATATCTTAAAGCAATATTCTATTTGCATGCTCAAGAAATGTTTCATTGAATAGTCATTAACATAAAACATTCAATAAAAACGATGACATTTTTCAATGATGCAAACATAGTCGTGTAGTGTTATGTAATAAAGCAATCACAGCAAACATTTTCGATTCGTTCTAATGATTTTCTTTAGATATAAGTATGAAATGAATGCCATTTGTCTTATAAATAAAGTCACATCACATTATGAATTTGCCAGTTTCAAAGTCTCGCCACTCTTCTTTAATGTTTTCAACATTGAGGCTTTCTTTAAATATTTTCAATTCGCAATCATTTTACGCAATCTCTGTTATATAGATGTATAAAATAGGCATACAAATAAAGTCATTCACTGATGATAAATCATAAAACAATTTATTCCAACACACTTCTTTGATTATTTTACCATTTATTAAAGATAAAAGCAAATACATATACTAATGAGAAAGATGAACTTGTTTATTTTTATATAACGAATTAAATCTAGACCGAATGTTTCCTACCGAAAAACACGAGGCATCATCCATGTATTTTCGGAGTCAACGGGTGTTTGGATTTTATAATCACTGACACCAAAAATGCCACTTTTCATGTCAAAATGTAAAGATTTCTGAAGAGTTATTCAGTAACTATAATTGCAATAACTGCATAAAATTATTATAAATTGGAAATTAACGACAAACAAATATAAATTTTCTGTACCAGACGTGACCATGGAATAATTTCGACTTTGCCATCCGTTTTTCTTGTCATTCGACCCACGCACTAGTTTTTGTGTGTGATGTATATAGTACTTACTTCCGACATCGTACACTTTTAATTCTAAGACAATTTTGAATGCAAATTTTGTACAATTTTATCCAAAACAATCTAATCAAAAGATTTCCTAATCATAATTACAAATACGCAGGGAGTTCTCCTCAAACATTCCTACATTTAAACAGTTCTGTAAAATCCATTTGTTTAGATACGTGAATAAAATGCATCAGAGAATTTTTGTCAATACTACGAGATTCCGTCTACACTACAAAAGTGCCGAATGAGAGCCCATCGTACGAGAATTGTGGGTGCAATTAATGGCATGACTGCTAGCGTGCAGGCTTAGATGTGGGCCAAATATCATGCCATGCCAGAAACTTATGTGGAAACGTATTGATTTAAACTCAAACGATTGCCAGAGTGTATTCATGCTTCTATTAATAATTAAGTGTTAAGTAACTTGGTTTAGACTACGATAGGCATTAATCTATTACATCTCTTGACAAATTTAATAATTAAAATTAAATTAACATTTTTAATAATTAATTTAGAAGATTAAGGAAGAAAAACATTGGTCCAAAGCTGGACTCAAACCCACAGTTCCAACTTATCTTGTGACCGAGTTGCCAGTTAGTAGTTTCAGCAATAGTTTGGTTTCAATCTAAAAACAGGTTTATATATGTTTATATTTATACTAATTTAATATAGTAACTGACTTTTTCTGTTACTATTGTGTACAGTACTCTATCGCGTTTCTTTCTCCAAAATGAATCCACAAAACTAGAGTCATTCAAGGAGAATACAGTGTATAGTGTTGCAAGCTTCAACAATATGTGTATTTTTAAGGTGAAGTTGTTTCTTTTATGTATATAACTAGCTGTTACCCACGACTTCGCCCGCAGAGGTTTTGCAAGCAAACCCCATTTATATTCAGTATTTCAACAACCATAGTAATTGTTTTATAACATTTACTGCCGAGAATGATGAGAATTGCTGAGAATCAAACAAACAATTTTCAATTTGATCAGTTTTCTGGAACATTTATAATCGTTCTATAATCAAACTGATACGCGATAACAAATTTGAATTTAAAAAGATGCCAACATTTGGTTAAAAAATCAAAATATATAAAAATATCTGAAATGTTATTAATTAAATACACTTAAGTACTTAATGAAGACTAAACGTAACAAAAAAATTGCATGTAAAATAGTACAGTAGAAGCTGTTCTTCCGGATAATACAATGATACCCCGAACTTACGCGATAGGTGGGGCCGAGCGATAACCGCGTAAGTCAAATTCGCGTAAGTCGGGGTATAATTTTTCAATGTGTGTAAAATCCAAGTCGGATGTATGTAAGCTAACAAATGTTCTCGTTAATCTTATCTCGTCTTTTGATTCGTTCATTGTTACAAGAAATCAGCACATAGAGTCTCTAGAGTCTCCGTAGATATAACAAACACAGAAATAAATAACACAAAATAAATTGTAGCTATGTGTCAATTCCACGTGACACGTCCGAACATGTAAGTTGAACAATAGTGTGGAGGGAATGAGTAATCAAGAGTTGCGTGGTGCTCAAACAAAAGACGAATCGACGCGATTTGAAAATCGCGTAACTCCGGGTTCGCATAAGTCGGGGTAGCGTAAGTCGAGGTATCACTGTACTTAATCCTCTCCTTCTCCCCCCATGGGGGAATTTCGAAAAATCCCTTCTTAGTGTGCATTCGCATGGTTTACCCTACTAAAACGTAGATAAAAACAAAAAATTGCATCTAAAATAGTACACTAGAAGTCGTTTTTCCGGTTAATACTTAATCCTCTCCTTCTCCCCTTGTGGGGGAATTTCGAAAAATCCCTTCTTAGTGAGCGTTTTCATGACGTACCCTAATGGTGTACCAAATTTCACCTCTTTAGGTTCAGCAGTCTGCTCAGTGAATGAGTCAGTCAGGACAAGCAATTTTATATATATAGATAATGTAACGAAAAACACGCTCCAATTTGCATTTGATATTGTAATGAAAATAAGATAAACTGTGCTAAAATTTAAGTTTATTTATGATAATTATTCACAGTTACTTTTTTTTTTTTTATTATCTATAATTAGTTATTTATTGACGTTACGATATGTTAATTCGTGTACATTCTATATTTTGTATCCTAAATTGGATTTTATTTAAATATTTTAACAATTAATTGTGCTTTACGACTTTAAATATTGACAAATCCTTTAAAATGATAAAAATCATCAAAAATTAAAGATTGCTTTTAATTTCAAGTAGCTAACTTGGTCAATAAAGTATTATTTAATTATGTAAAGTAACTGTACTTGCATGTTTAAAATTTAAATGCATTAAAATGTCAAAAGTTAAACATGCTATAAACAGGGAAACGAACTTTATGTTCCATAATAAAGTATCTACTGTCGTGTTTCTCGTTAATACAATATTTATAAGCGGAAAGAACATTAATCCTTAAAAACTTAAACTCACCCAACTGATTCTTGCAGATATACATCAGCTTCTCTGCAGAAGTGAGCTTGGTAATACTGCATCTTTTATAGTACGGATCCGTTTTACCGCTCTTGAATGGTTGAAACGAGGAGTCGTCGATGAATTCCGTCTGTTCCACAACGTGGAAGTTAAAATCCGTTCCTTCCTCGCTGGTCTTGGTGACCTCTCCCCAATATAGAAAATGATCGTTATTCACTACTCTGCCACTGAAATCCGTCTGACTGAGAACAGAGATGTGATCCGTGTAATAGTCGTCGGCAAGAGGCCGAATGAATCTGTTACAGAGGCAAGACTTTCCCACGCCCGTGCTTCCCTTCTCCTTCTCCGTTCCGGACAGTCCCACGACCGCAACGTTAAAAGTACGCGTAACATCCGATTTTTTAGCCATGGCTTTCTGCCGAGCACTCCTCGCTCACTTTCGGGCGGTCTGCCCTCCGTTCCAGGCAAAACAAGTAAAATACGTTATAACAATTATCATAGATGACAAAGGAATAGGTGTTCATGTAGCGAACACCTTTCTTCCTTCCATTCAGAAATAAACATTTCTCAGCATTTCCAAAATTCATGTGGTTTCCAGTACCGAAGACAACTGACGAGAGAAGATTCTTCGAGCGCGACAATCGTCCATTATATTTCTCCACCGACTTGAGGCCGGCAACCCTAAAAATATAATAGAAAAATTATTAGAGAGAAATTTGTTATTGTCGTTATTCTAACCTATTTTAATTAAACAATAAAGCACATTGGTTATTCTTTCTATTTCTTGTAAATTTACTAATAAACAAGTCTGCTAATTTACAACCGGATAAACATTTTCAATACTATATTTGCATCAAAAGCAGAAACAGAGTCTCAAAATTCATTATCAGAGTACAAAATAAAACAGATTTACATTTAATTACCGATTAATTTACATTTTCTTACATTAAAAACAAAAACATTGCTATAAACATAGATCTTTTGCAGGAAATCTGAAGAGAACAGCCCTATTAGTTGTCGCGGCAATTCCAAATGCAAGTATTGGTAACTCTTTTATAAAATATTAAATCTAACTTACAAAAAGAGCGCTATTTAGCAGCCAGAGAACAGATAATTTCGAGAATCTAGCCGCACAGATTAGTATTTTTGGCCGTCTTCGCCGACCGCCAATTTTAAAAATGTAACAAGTTACCTGCTCAATGTTTTTATTCAAAATACATATGATCCACTAACAAAATGAAAACAAACGCAACTGCAATACCTCATAATACCGAATCGCTCTCTAAAGTCACATACCAAAATAATATATAACCGTCATTTACATGAAAAACTCATCCATTTATAGTATTATTTGATAAAACCGCGCACGGCAACCACTGTACGTTTGGAATTCGACAGTCGACGATACGCGCGAGGCGGTCGGAAAGTCGAGTTAACCGCCGTAAGGACCTTATTCAAATCTTATTATTATTATTATTTACAGCTTTACAGAAAGCACTCCAAACGTGATCCTTCTCGCTCCTTTCGACGGGCTGTCGCGAATTTCTCTCCGTCCAAGCAGAACGCGGTTAACCGACTTTCGGGCCACCCCGCGCGCTCTCCCATTCCGAAAACGCAAGCGGTCGTTTATTTTATATTCGTCCCTACGACCACTAAATCCGAGCATCTAAATTTGTTGAAAATTGAGTAAAAAAAAAAAAAAAACTTTCCATCTGCACTACATCAGAAAAAAAAAACACAAACAATAATTCTCTGTCTCTGACGTATAATGTGTTATTTAATTACTCTTCTCGTTTACGAAGCCAAGTGGGGGAAAAAAACGGGTTAATCACGTGACGACGAAATCCCGTTTTCGCTCGCTTCCGCCCCCCCCCCCGAACACAGCGCCGTACACAAGAATTAACCGGCAACTACTACACACAAAGCTACAAGTATTTTATCCTTATCTGATTGATATAAACACACTTTCGATTCATAACACTCTTTTAAAGGCCGACACCGAAAGCCGAGAGCAACAGTAAACACATTCATACGTAACCATAGATGAAAGAAGTGACGTCACCGCTGCCATACGTCAGAGCAACCGCCAGTACGAGGGGGAGGGAGTAGGGCGCTCGGACGCGCGAGCGAAACTAATTCGGAGGCACCCGCACCGGCGTGACGCTCGCGACGCGAGCGCCTTCCGACGAATATTATTAGGGAAACGGCGGCGACGCGAATCGCGGATCGAGCGCCACCGGAGCGAGAGGTCGATGGAGAAAAGAGCGTGGGCCACGGGGGGTCGTTAGCCATTTACACGCTCCGCTTCGATTTTCTGCCAGTTCGTTCGCGTAACGCGGCGCCGCGGGATATAAATAGACGAATAATTCCAGTTTATCGTCGGCGATAGAAACGGTATTGCGTCACTATCGGCCACAATCTCTCTCTCCGCCCGCCAACGGAATTAAACTCTAGATTCATCCATACGAGGGGAGGGGAAGGGAGAGAAAAACGGAAATCGCCGGCGCGTCGTCTGCGACGCGTCCTCGCTCGTACAGCTTACGAAGGCGACGTGGCAAGTCGATAACTTGTTAGGAAACAACAGAGACGGATGATAATTTCCTAAATGAATGTCGCTCCTCTCTCTCTCTCGCTCTCCCCCTCTCGTCCGATCGACTTCTAATCTTACACGAACGTGCGCCCCGCCGGCGCGATTCGGGAAGCGCCACGTTTCCCGGAAGCGAAAACGCTTCGCTTGGTTCTATTAATAGAGGCGTAACGCTCTCTTTTCTTAATTCCCGAACGAAAATTTAATATTCGACCGGAAGAAGGCGAGAGAGCGGCGTCGGCCTCCTTGCTCTATTTCCGGAACCGATTAACGTTCGGTGCTTAATCGACTACGGCGCCGGGAGGTCGCACCGCGCGTCGCTCCATCGACGCAGTCGGAAACGGAAAACGTCTCCCGTGAAAAAAATAACAAAAAAAATAATATACTAAAGCGTAACTCTCGACGGGACGAGCGCCGGTCCGTCCTAGCGTGAAGCGTAAAATCTGCCGTAGCGCAGGGCGTCGACCCGTTCCCGCTTCGCGCACCGGAACGGAAGCGAAAAGCCGGCGCGGCGTCTCCCGATCGATGCGACGCGCTCCGAACGGTATTAATTTACGCGAGTTTCGCTAAGTCGCAGTGATTCCGACTGTCAAATAACACACTTTTTCTCACACGTGCGAATTTTTAACACTGCTTCCTCCCTCTTCTAAAATCCAGCTCAATTAAACGTGACGAAGAGGCGTTACGCGTTTCGCCCCGTACCCTTTCGACGCGAGCGCACGCCACCACTCCAGCAGGTAGCGAAGGAGCGCGGCACGGAAACGCGTCGAGCGTGCAGAAAACGACAGAAAATCGACCAATATTTCCCACAATTTTCGCAAGCGTGGGGACGGGGCCATCGGCGCGATCCGGGACGTCGCGGTAAAGCGCCACCCCCTCTTCCATCGATTTCCTATCGCCAGCGCGCTCCACCCCATCGTCTCCTCGCCCTCCGCTTGGGTTATCATCCGTTAAATGGCGCGTGGGATCGGCGCGAGACCCGAATCAATCGGAAGCGAACCCGTTCGGATCGAGTTTCCATAACCGGAAACACGTCAGATCGGGCTCCCCTCTTCCGTCCGGATACCTAACACGTGAAGACGAGCGATAAGACACCCCCCTCCGGATGCTACCATCTCGAAATACCCATCGGTGCCACATCTCCGAGTCACCTGTTCCGACCGATCGATTGCGTTGGAGGAATGGCGAATTAAACGGGGAGTAAACGTCACGCGGGGCGTGTCGGGGCAGAACGGGTGAACGGAGCGGGCATTCCCTTCCCCCCCACACTACAAAAAAGGGTCGTTTCTGGAGGGCAGATACGGGAGTGCGGTGGCGGAGTCACGTGTTTCTGGAGGCGGCGCGTGTGACTCACCGCCGTTACGGGAAGGAAACAGTGGTAAGAGGCAATTACTAAACGTCGCGACGAGTCACCTCGTGGTATGCGCTCCTCCTCCTTCGTTCCCCCCTCTCGCCCTGCCGTGTTTTGTATCGAAAAACTGCGGGGCCGGCATCTCGCGGGAACTGGAGAATGCTTAAGAGATTTTGTTTATCCAGTGACCGGAGCACTTCGATTACGTCACCGGCTTACACCCCCCCTTCCCGAAAACTTGACGAAAACGTAAGAAATCCCGAAATCTGATCGATTTCCAGCACGCTGTTTTGATATTTGGCGATCGTTTAGGGCTTCGGGCATCGAAATTTATCGCCAAAATTTGTTACGATTTCAAAAAGTGCCAATTAATTATAATACAATTCCCTTTCGAATTAATGCGAAATGGCCGCATGCAAATTGCAAATTTCTGACAGAATTTAATCAGAAATCATCATTCCGACCGTAATTATGCACGGACTAACGGTGCCCACACAAACTAATTTGTGTATTACATTCATCAATAACAAGTTAATATCGAGAGTAACATAATTTCTATGTTACTCTCTATATTAGCTTGTTATTGATGTAGCTATTTATTCTAGTATCCATTAACAGAGAAGGGGCCTTTGTTTACTAGAACCCAAGCTTCTTAATACCCTACAACTGACATTTAAATACCGATTATTAATTTTTATGTAGTTGTCTTATTGATACTTGTTGCGCATCAAACACTCCACTGTACATAAACAATGCTTCACAATACATATTTATGTATTATAAGAGATTAAATTACTGTATTACGTGCTAGTGAAGTTCTCCGACTTATAGTCTACGAACTACTTAAACCCGGTCACTTGTGCCCGTCCACTTCTTATCCTGCAAGAATCACCTTAGGTGCGAGCCAAAAATTTCTCTCTATTCGGTCATTTAAGAACACAGAATTTCAGGTTGGTCTGCAGAACACCTGGGTGTGTGATTTTACTTTGAGAACCACTACACTAGCTAGATAAGTGGAGCCGAATGCCAAGAGAAACAGATGAAGACTAAACAAACAGAAGGGCTTCGATTTCATTAATCATTATAGCCCGAAAGTTAGTTAACCATTGTGAGGGCTGAGCTACTATCTTACTCGATTACTTTATTATTTACAAATTTTACTCCATATTTTGGAACTCAAGACAAAAAATTCTATTTAAACCCGGTACTTTTGGATGTCCCGACTGGTCGTCAGGAGGTATCGATACCATTCAACAACACGGATACCTTCAATTGTCTCCAACTGTATAAATTTGTTTGATATTTTACAAAAATTGTTTGGTGCACAATTAACAATGCTTTAACAAATTCAGTTTGGTAGCATTATTCGCAAATACCCTATGAAGGCATCTTGTTAACCAAGTTTTGGACCGTCCCATGTACGCGACACGATAAAATTATAATACAAAAGGGTGCTTCAAAACTGTGAATCCCATATCTTCCAACAACAATACTTTAACAATTTATTAAAACTGCACAATGCGAGTGATAAGACATCATCCAAGTCACCTCCGGTATTGAATACACAATGGTGACTTATCGGCAAGGGAAAAGTACGACCTTCGGATTCTAGATGTCAAATGTTTCCAATTTGAAACTGCCAACTCTTAATTTTTTTAATCAAAAGGTGAAAATTAGTTATGTTAAAATGAATAAATACCTTCAATTTNAAGTTTCCACATTGTTATCAGTGGATACCTGGTT